GCTGTAAATTGGTGATACAAAATGGCTGCTTCGTGTGTATATTATATTTTTGTTATTAAAAGAGTGTAATGAAATTTTCTTAAAAAGGATAAGCTATATCAATCACACCTTAGAAACTGTTAGGTTCTTACTAACAACACCTTCTGAAAAGTGAAATTAAATATATATTGCAAATGGAAATAATACGTTCATACACTTCTTTAATATGTACTAGCGACTATGTGATGTCACGTGATGATGATATGTGATGACTTAGTTTTAACGCTTGGTATAGATTTCTCAGAGATGAGATATTTTCGCGCAGTAAAAAGTATCCTATGTGTTGACCCGATAACCAGCTTTATAGCTGGTTATCGGGTCAACACATTATTACCAAATTTATTACCAAATTTGAAAACCACTAGACGAATTTCATCAAAATCTGTCCAGTGGTATTTCTCGTTCCCAGACAGACAAAAATTCTAAATACTATAGATTCGGCCTCTGTATCCATAATAATTACTATTTCAATAAGATTTTCCAAAAAATGTTTAATGTGCAGATTCGACTCAGTTAGAATTTTATTATATGTATAGATTAGGAGTAAGGTAAGGAGGTACACTATACTTATAAATAAATTGTCTCTATGATTAAACAACAAGTTTTCCTCGCATTTACTTCATATATATACCAAAGCACAAGCGACTATTACATAATATTTATATCGGTCAGTTGTTACCAGCTAATTTAAGGAACCTTTTCATTTTTGGGACAAAGTAAACAAGTCATATTAAAGAGCTTCCAATTCTAATGGAGCTTTTACACCTTATCCTAGAAATGAAATATAATAACAAATTTTAATGAGTCTTTAGTAGCTGTACGTGTGAGGTAGTTACAGGCTATTTTTTCTGGAGAAAGTGCTTATAAATATACTACATCATAATACTTATATCTTTATACTAAGGAAATAAGAAAGTTGGAAGAAATCATTACCTACAAAGTTACAATCAGAAATAAAGACACGTTAAAGAACTTTACCGCCATTTCCAACTTTTCCTCCCCAGGCTACTTGTTTGACAGTTCACTTTAACTTAAGACCTTATAAATAGTATACCCGGTGGGAGGAAATTCAGAATTACCAAGCGTTTTTCATGATTGTTAAAGGTCTAGCGGGAGTCAACTGAAACAACAAGTGAAGACTATAGTTATTATAAAAGTAAGATTGAAAATAATTTTAATTATTTGTATAAGTAACTAATACTATAATATCAAATCTACTAGATATACCGCCAGATGAATACAAGTTCGATTTCTGTTCGATGCTACTAAAGTTTGAGCTCTCCATAAACTTACGATCTCGCCGTAAGTCGTACTGCATGTGTAGTTATAAAGTTTAGGTGAAAATGAATAATTTTAGCTAGTAGAAATGCCAATTCCCCTTAACTTACGTGGCGTATAATATGTAGGTAAACTAGTTTCTGTATACGACATTGCAGGCACGTGGATTATTCTTTACTTAAGAATGAGCATTTCTAGAATTGCTAAAGAAATAAAAAAAACTCTGTTCCCGAGTTCTCAAATTTTTTTGAATAGTAGGTAATATAGTGCAAGAGGCGGTAGATGAGAGCGTATTTGAAATAATAACAATGGACCTCGCGCATGGTCTTAGCTATATAATTTATATACACGACATATAAATCCATAACAATATTGCCTTGTTCTTGGTTATTAATCTTATTATATTAAATGAGCACTATTCTTGTATATGTATGTATGTATGTATTCAGCCCTTTTTAACGTCCCATTGCTGGGCACGGGTCTCCCTTCTGTACGAGGGGGATCAGGCCATAGTCCACCACGCTTTTTTTTTAACGTTGGGAAATGCATTTACGCACAACGTGTGGGACTCACCGGCGTAATACAGCCAGTACAGCTACCCACTAAAACCCAACAAAACCTTCCCCCGTCTTAATGGGGCGTCGCAGGATCCCTTACGCATTCAACTACGACGCCCCGACGGCAGGTCTGCCGAAGCAGACCACCACAACCATGGGGTTGCTCCAAGGTCCACTCTGCTATCAGAGAAGTACCAGGAGCAACCCGCATGGTACACCGCCCCCCGAAGAGGGCCACCTCCCACCGTCCACCGAAGTGGGCAACCTCCCTGTGCGTTTCTTAGCTTCGCGCCCGGTTGGATTGCCGGGCACTACTGAGCCCCCCCACCACGACGAGGTGAACGCACGTTGGGGGGGAATAGTCCACCACGCTGGCCAAGTGCGGGTTGGCGGACTTCACATATCTTTTGAAAACTTGCTAGGTTCTATCAGACACGCAGGTTTCCTCACGATGTTTTCCTTCACCGTTAAGACAAGTGGTAATCATGTTGGAAATGATTCGCACATGAAAATATCAGAGGTGCGAGACCCGGGATTTGAATTTGCTTCACTCGGTTTCCAAGCAAGCGCGTTACCACTGGGCTACCACTGCCTTTTATTCTTGTATATATGTATATAAATTTATTTTGCGTATCTCGGAAACAGCTCTAACGATTAAGACCAAATTTTGTATTTAGATAAAGTTTTACTATTTAAGTTTATCTGTATAGGTGTCTTTTCTGAAAAAATGCAATTATTATGCCTCTTGCAAGAAACACCGAGCGCAGCTCGAAAAAATATAAATAAAATTAAAAACGCAAAAATCAAGGTGAACATTGATGATGATTGATGTAGAACGAAATCCAATAAAGACATTTTTTTTTCTATTTTGCATTATTACTTTTAATTTACCTTTTTTTTTAAGTTTTTTTTTAAATTAAATATTATTTATTTACAATAAAGAAAATTACAAATATACTTAATTATATATACAAAACAAATGTACACTTAACTTACTGTACAAGTCATGTCTGCGTAGACTATATAATGCTAGCCGCATTCCCTCCGTTCAATGGCAATGCCGATTTTTTGGGCGAAAAATGCGCTAGCCCTCCTGTCCAGTAGAGGCGATAAGACGAGGTGTTATGTTTTTTAAGAAGTGCTTGGCATTTTGACCTTTATAATTTACCTTCTTCCTAATAGAAAAAAATATTGTGATTTACAATGAACAATCATTTAACTTACACAGTGTTAGATTTACAGTTTTTGATGATAATCATTATGTGGATGGCGTGTTGGGTGCGGTAAGTAGCTTCGAATCTGTTTTACTGGATTGTGGCACATTAGCCTAATTAGAGATACGTCGGATGCGAGACTATTACATAAAGCTTCAGTTTAGGAAAATTTAACCGTAATGATTGAGCGGTTTGGAAATAGCATTATGAGACAAATATGAATTAATCAAATACATACTCGTACATATGTGAATATACGGTGTACGCTATAAATGCGTTAGCTATATTATAAATCATTTTTATTTAAAATATTAAACAAGTTACCTACATTATACTTATTAAGCTGGTTACTGTTCTAAATGTGTATTTACGATTTATATTAATGTTCACAAATACCTTATAGGTCTTTTATTATTTGCATGAACGCGCGAACCGGGTAGTATATACTGTTACTATTCAATCGTTTAACTGCCTCGGTGGTGTAGTGGCTAGCTTGTACGGCTGCACACCCGGAGGTCTTGGGTTCGAGTCCCGGGTCGGGCCAAGTTTAGTTATTGAGTCTTTCTGTATAGTAAGTCTCAGTAACAGCCCGGAGTTGGGAAGTTGGCGATGTTTCACCCCCGTGCCTCGGAGAGCACGTAAAGCCGTCGGTCCTGCGCCTTAACTCTCACCGGTCGTGTCGAGTGGTCGTCCCACCGGAGTATGAGAGTGATAGGAATAGAGAGTGCACTTGTGTCTGCGCGTACACTTGAGCACTATAATAACTCCTGCGCAGTTGGCTAATCTCAATGAGATTGGCCACCATAGCCGGAATCGGCTAGGAGAACATCACATTCAATCGTTTTAAATAAAGTGAAACGTAGTTTTTTTAATTCAGATTATTGACAAACTTAATACCGAAATAGTCCTATCAAAAATCGTTTAGTCATTCTTGCTTGATACGTAGTTAATAGACATATCTGACTCTCAATAGTAACTACTAAATCTCATACTATAATAATATTTATTTAGAAGAAAAAAAATACTTTGAATTTACAAATTTACTTAATTATATCTACCTATATACATTTATTTTTATTTTATTTTAATCATATTATATGAATAGCGAATAGGTAATACATACTAGTTATTTTAATCAAACAAACTAATAACGTTGGCTGAAAATCTTTTAAATATTAAATTTGAGTGTGTAAGTTATTTCTTGAGCGTACTTTTAACAAAACAAAGTAACAGAATCTCCGCTATTTTGGTCTGCAGGCCATTTATATGGCTTAGCTAAAGCACGGAATATATTTTAGCTCGCGACTCGGTTTAAGTTCAGAAATTAATAATATTTTTTTTTAAAAACCAAGTAAGCTATGTTCTGCGCAAGTCCCGGGGGAAATTACTAGCTACAGTAATTATATGTTGTCCCCACGCCAGTTTTTCTGATGCGACGTGACGACTGCACAATAAAATTTTCTGCTAACGGATTTTTTATTTTGCTCGACGCAATTTGACACATTTTTTTTTACATTTAATTATTATGGTAGACCTTCAATTTTTAATTTAGGTTAAAAAATTTAGCAGCTACTTCATACTCAGTTTTAATTAGATTTAAAATATAGTTAATTACAGCGGTACGAAGTACTAATTTTTTAATTATCGTATATATTTAATTTAGACCGCTTCGTTGAGATTAAAAAAAATGTTTCAAAACTACAATAAAGTTAGTTATTATTGCAGTAACTTACGTGTTTTAATATAGTTTGATTATAAGAGTAAAAATTAAAATAAATCTACAAAATATAATATAAGAATAATTTATTGATATTATTAGGTACATATTTCAATTTTTCAATTAACTTAATAATTATTATGAATATGAATTGGAATATTATTACTATTAAAAAATATTTGTCATTATAATTCACTTAAAATTAGGGTTTAACGTCGACCTACGACTGGGGTCGAATAAAACTTCATCATTTTTCTTTGTACCTTGTTCAATGCTGTTTTCATATATAAAACCACTAGCAGAGTCCATTTTATTTGATGCAGATGCTATAATCGAAGCGGCAATGTGCGATGGATGTGGCAAGTCGGGGATTTGAGAAACAAAGTACTCGCAAAGCTTACGCCTTTTATCTTCAACAGAATCTTCACTTTCCTTATTACTTTTAGAATCTGGAACATCGGATGAGTCACTGATGCAAGAAAAATCTCGACACTGATAATACGACAGTCGCAGATGTGAATAATCATCTATAAAAAAATCTTCGTCACACACGTCATTTGTTGACCGATTCTCTTCTGATAATGTTGAATCATTAATCTGATCATTTCTTTTATCCTCCATTTTCAATGCGATATTACAGTAAACAACACAAAATCACATATACTAATCTCACGAAGTGTTTTTAGTTTTATGAGAAAAATAGGAATGGCAAGTATTCAATCTACCCACATTTATTAATATTATAGAAAAAAATATACTAAGGACATGACAGATAAAAATAAAATGAAAACAGTAAAATAAATAAATAACTAAATTATTAATTATAATTCATTTAATATGTTATAAATTACATATGTATATTTAAAATCAATACGACATTAAATACTTATCTGTGTAACATTGAATATTGAAAATTATTATCTACATTTAGATAGTAATAAAATTAACGTTAATAATCATTAAATGAATGTCATTAATTAATGTATTAATTGCTATTAACACAATATCAAAGTTTAAATAAATATTGCAGAAAGTATTTTCGTATTTGTCTAAATCCGTAACGCTTGTCCGAGATAACCTTCGAAATAGCTGCATCGATTTCAATGAACTTCACTAGTCGATAAAATTATGTTCTTTATTCACCAGGATAGCCCATTTATACGCTACTTTTTATCTTGGGAACATAAGGATCCTTCGTAAATTTTGTAGTTTTGTTAATAGATCGAAATTCCTCAAACATTTTAATAAGATTTAACAGTATGGACATAATCGAACTTCGCTTTAATATTTAATTTGTGTACTCTGTAAGGGAAAATACATAAAGATAAAATTAAGGTTAGAATTTAAAACCGCCTTTACGTATCTTATCATAAGTTTTTATTTATTTGTGATGGACGGACAGTTTGAGAACTTATTCAGTAGATGATTTTAGATAATATAATGTTTAGTGTGATTCATATGATTATGCATATAACACGCTACAATTCAAATAAATTTTCCTATAAAAACTTAAAAAAAAAATAGAAACCGACTTTCAGGCACTAAAATGTAAAAAATAACTAAACGGAGGTTTTCATTTAGAATATATACCTAATCAGATATTTTCGAAGTCGGTGCCAGCCGATGCAAAGCAAATCTAATACGTAAAATACATATTTACCTATTAGATATTATTCATATCTTAAAATATTGTAGGCTGAGAGAGGCTAAGACCTATAGAGGCTGAGACTCCAAAAAAAAAGAAGAAAATCTACAGATATCACTTTAATTTTCCTTTTTAGCGAGATCTATAATTTGATATAAGAGATGGAGAAGATATGTTAAACATTGACTCTTGAGTAATACCTATAATGTTATTTTAAAATTTACAGTTATAAACTATCTTGTAAAAATTAAATAAACAATATTTTATGCCGAATAACCATAAAAGGGAAGTGATTTGAATGACAAAAAGTTAAACAATATTTTATGATCGCTTTTACGAGTCAGGAATACAAACATTAATTTTAAATGCTGTATTATGCTGTATTTATTTGGTACGTCAAAGTATACATATATAATATATATGTATTTAAATATTTTGCATGTATATAATTAAAATGCTTTAATATAGAAAACAAATTATACTTTTATATATAAATACCTTCAGTTTAATTAAATAGTCTAAATTTACCATCGTATATCAACAGAATTTGCAATTTCCTGCCAAAGGAGCCTTATTTTCTTAACAGATTAACTGTCCGCAAAATAGACACAATAGTTAAAGAATCAAAATGTTCATATATGACTCATGGGACTCAGGGAAACGTTTAAAATAAAATCCGATAATTGGCTTTACAATCTTATTTAGCAAATTATGTTTATATTAAATTTCTTTACATACAGACAGACACTAAAATCGGTGATTATTTGGCATATCTGTGAAATAATAATATGCATATAGTTCTAATATAAGTTATGAGAATTTATTATTTTATTTAATATATTAAACTTATGTAACATATACATTTATAAATTTTTTATTCAAAAGGAATTAAGGTAGAAATACAATTCGCTACGTCTTGTAAAAATCACAAGATTTAGACAAAATCGTACTCCACTCATAAGATGTTATCACTTATCAAATATGCTTGCTGTGCATAAGATGATTTCTCGCAAGTACTATATTTGTCAATATTATGAGAGATAGGCATTGAACACGAAGGTCACCATTACTTAGCTCGCCCGATCGCACTCGGATACGCCTACCTTTAACCAAGGAAAATACATACTTCTTAAATATAATAATAATAATTTATTTATTGTACTTTAATTGCGGGACCCTAATTAATTTTCTGAAATGAAAGTAGCCTTATTTAAAAAATTAAAATTGGTCCAGACGTTTCGGAGATTAGCCGGAATAAACAGACAGTTTTTTTTCAAAAACAGACAAACGTCTATACAGACAAACAGACAAATAAACAAACAGACAAAAAAAATAATAACTATTGTTTTGGGGGTCTATATTCTACAAAAAATACGTTAGAGTCATTGTTTAAAAAATAGATGGACAGACAGGAAGACTGGAGGGAGAACAGGAATGTATTATTTCAACTGGCAATTAGGTCCTCTTGAGCCTTTTCCTGGTCTTCGATACAGGATCAAACTTTCCAACATTTTACAGTAATAGTATCTAGCAAAACCCATTCAGTTTTCTTTGCTCATGTTTATGACGCGACGGTAGATTGTTAGTTTAAAAATATTTCTATTGTTTAGAGTATTTACACAACAATACCATTGTCATCTTAAAACCAATACTCAGTTATTAGCAAAAGGTCGTTGCAAAGAAATAAACTCTTAAAGCGATTTATATTGAGGCAACAGACATATTTGTAGCTTCTATTCGTTTCGCAATTGTGGAAAATGAGAAATGCTCTCGTTGTTCTAGTTCCCGTGTGTATTGGACTTACTTCCGGATTTATTGTTCCCTCTAGCATACAGGAGGTGAGTATTTTGAACCGTACGATATTTGGACGCTATGAATAATATTCAAAGTGCTGTTTACAATAGATATTGGTTATTGTATATTCTAACATGTGCTCGTAGCAGCGATATGGTAAAATTTGGATCATGTATTACTTGTACAATTTGTTGAGATGAACAATAGTGGCATGTATTTTCTATGAATAAGTATTTCGAAAATCTTCATGTTAACTCTTAAAAATATTTTTTTATTATTCGCAATGATCTCTTCAATCTAATATTAAAAGTTGTTTAAAATATTACGAATAACATTATCTCGATATTAAACAACATAGTTATAATGAAGAGACCGTGTGTTCCGTAAATTCCTTTATTTTTATATCTACTTGCACATTCTGTATAGACACTGTCATTTTTCAAAGTAAAGCTGGTCAAAAAAAAAAATCGTACCTACTTGAAAAATTGAATGATTGACTGAATACACCCAGAATTAAGGTATTTTAGGTATTAATTAAGTAAAGTCGCCTTTGATCAAAAAATGTATTAACTGCATTGTATTTTTAGATTTTTGAAATCAGTCAGAATAATGAAAATTTCGTATCATTGAACGGTGTTCTATCAGAAAAAAAGTTGCAAGGAGATGTACAATTGAAACCTACAACAGTTACTACAAAAAGAAATAAAATAGATACTACTGAAAGAAGCGCTAATCAAATATTGGATAAATATTTATATGAGTATACCATACAAAAAGACGTTAATTTGACGGAAAGATCATTTATTTATATAAAAAATAAAAAAACTAAGAATTTAAAAGAGTATTTAGATGACAATAATGCAGAAAAATTTTCTCTGTTGAACGTTAAAAATATATTTGACGATGTTCATCGTCGATTATATGGACATATAGACAAAAATAATTTTAATATGCAAAGAGTATTCGAGGATTCCGGCCATTGTTGTGAAGGAAAATCAAGAAATATAGTAAAATACAATAATGATATTAAAACAAAAGATCTAGACAAATTCCAAATTTTTTTTGGAATACCTGTATTTTTAAATGATTTGGATAAATATACAGGGGATACTAAAGATAAAGTTAAGTCAAACTCTTATTCTGACTATCTTATTCCTACAAATTCAAAAGATAATAAGTCTTATGGTGCTAACGAAATTACACAAACAGCTGGTAATCGTAAAAATAGAACCACTGATAAAACATTCTCACTTGAAGTTAAAACTCCAAGTGAAAGTGAAAGCGATGGTAATGAAGTGTTAGACTACTTGATAAACAAGAATTTAGAAGATAAATCGCCTGAAAGGAAAAATTATATTCTTCAATATGGATTTCATTATTGTCGTGACTGCATCGTTGAAGCGGAAAAACAAGTATTAAATGACCGTGCATCTGTAAAATTTAAATGCAAGTGCGGTAATGATCAGGATGTTAAGAAAAATAGGCACTCGCAAAATAGTTACTTTAATAACTTATATAATAATTATTCACTTCATATGTAGAGATCTAAATACTAATGCATGAATATTCATACATTAGTATTCAAAGTTTTTCAACGACGTTTTTTAGTATTTACTAGCATGGCTTCGTCCACATTTAAACGACCAAAACCCAAACTCTTTTATATACACATACCAAAATACCGTGCACCATATAATGAAAAAAATAGCGGAGTTAGGAGATACCACAAAGATTCCTCCTTTAATTTCATGTTTAATTCGTTTTAACAACATTTGCGGTACATCAACATTTTATTTGTATATCCCGATAAACGTTGAAAGTACTGAACCAATTTTAATAATTCTTTTACTAATAGTTATTGATTAATAATGAAATATTTACCTGATCCATTTCTCTTAATATTAATTTCCGGTGAAGTAGTTTTATAGGTTACATTTTGCTAGCTGAAATGTTTTTCAAATGAAAACGTTAGTAAATTTTTGTTCTCTTCAAATATAAAAATCGAGTAAGTGCGAGTTTTCGGTACACATAAGATTATGCCTTTATAAATTATGTCTTTATAATAAGGTAAATGTAAAAAAGGCTTCTAAGCATTTTTTATTAGAGTCATAAACATTGTATCACACCTTCCTCCTTTACCTTTTATATAATGGTGTTAAAAAATGTTAAAGTTTTGAGAATAAATGCCAAAATACTTTCAACGAAAATGATTTTGCAGAATATAGATAAAGTAGTTTTTGAGATATTTGCAGTACTTTGTCAGTTTAGCAACCGCTATAGCAATAGTATGAAACACAATTGATACAATGTGTTAATATATTGTTAAAACGCTTGTTGGACTCGCACTTGACCGATTTTTATGTTTAAAGATTTACAAACATGAGCATTATTTACTAAATGATAGCAAACATTTATAAACATTTTCATTAGAAATTTGTTCGGTTTGAATAGTGATAGCTATAATTATAAGGAATTCATAGAAAGGTCATATCAGTATATTTGAAAAAAAATACAGAATTAAAAGCACATCGCGACATCTAATTGATGTTTTGCTAAATAACACATAAATAAATGTTGAGTCTATTTTTTTGTTTTGTTTTGTAAGTTACCTTACTTAAATATCTATAGTTTTAACGTGGTTTTATTCTAACCAGTTTTTGTGTTTATTCTCAAAAATAAGATATTTTCTCGCAGTAAAAAAGTAAATCCTATATGTACCCGGAAAATCAGCTTTCACCATATATTTCATCTAGATTCTTCAAGTGGTGTTTCCTTGATGTGATCACAGACAGACAGGCAGACAAAAATTCTAAAATAATACTTTCTTAGATTTACGCGAATATTTGACATTTTAAATAAAACTATCTTTTCGGATTATTTCGCGGATTTATTTTGATTTTTGGTTCCCGACGTTTCAAATGCTTTACAGCATCAATGGTCACGGGAGAGACTGAGGTGTTACATGTCTCGAGGGTATAGTTGTTACAGCCTACCCACAATTAACAAAATGAAAATTGCACCAATTACCTTACAATATTTTTTAACCCAAAACATTTTTATAATTTTAATTAGTTTTATAGTTGAATATGGAATATTATAAGAATAATAGCAAAAAAAAGCAAAAATTAAATAAATAATATTCATCTCTCAGTCTCTCCCGTGATCATGGATGCTGTAAAGCATTCGAAACGTCGGGAACCAAAAATCTAAATAAATCCGCGAAATAATCCGAAAAGATAGTTTTATTTAAAAAAATCTAAAGACTAACGATTCGGCTTTTGTGTGTACTATGACTATTTAAATAAAATGTATAGATAAGACTATAAATTGATAGGAAATGAATAAAAAAAGTGATTTTTTGCAAAAAATATATCATGGGTATAGTAAAATAAAGAGAAACTACAATACACAGTGGTTTGGTGTCATCATACTCTTTGATCAATTAAATGTTTACATGGTATGATGACAAACGATAAAATCATTGATAAGAAGGTTAAGTTTAAAATTATAAGCTTTTTGCGAAATTTCCTAAATAGTTGTTGCTAAAAATAGACAAGGAAGACAATAATTTAAAAAAAAAATTATAACTTGAAGGAGTACCTATACTCTGTCTTGTGTTTAACAAAACAACAAACGTACGTAGCAAATTTAGCACCCCTTAATTGTAGGTTATATGAGGGCATAAGGCGCTATGCAGCGACTTTTCATGGCGTGTGCTCGTTGATCTCGATTACTAGCTCAAAGCTATCAGAATTGCGATCTCTGCGCGCGCATCCTTCTCACTGCGTCTGTTGCTTGGAGAAATGAAATGTAAACACTGCAGAATGCCAACAGATGTCCAGATAGCCAATAGAACTACACAGAAATAGAAGCGCCAGATGTGTCTTCAAAGTATCCATTCTTTAAGATCATAAATCATATAAATTTGAAAACCGACGCGAATAACATATAATAAGGTACTGAGATGTTATAGCTTTTGTTTTGCATCTTTCACCAAAAATGTTCTTATAAAGTTCTAATACTAATAATAATTATTTATCATACCAATAATAGTTATCTTAATATATTTTTTGTAACATGTTTTTGTTTGTATTATAATATTTAATTTTATAGTATTCCTCAATAAATTACGATGATAATTTAATAAATTCATATAATGTAACGTATTTTAAATGTTTAATCTAATATATTTAAACGAGCAATTGTTGTATATATATAAATATATAATCTTGGAATCGGCCCCAACGATTTTCATAAAATTAGTATACAGGAGGTTTCGGGGGCGATAAACCGATCTAGATTAGTCTTATGTCTGAGAAAACACGTGTTTTCGAGTTTTCATGCAGTTTTCTTTTGCATTATTATATAAATATGGTCGGTAATTTGCACGCTCCGACGTAAGCATCGTGGTCAAACGGCCAAAGTGCAAGATCAACACAATCACAGATGTCCAGGTTCGAATCTCGGTCGCATACAAAGTTTTTACTTTTGTTTTTTTAAATATTTATTCAAGTTTTTAGTCTCTTAAAAAACAAGAAAATCGTACGTTAGGCCAAAAACTCCGAGCGAAGCTCGGTAGCCCAGGTACTTTTATATTATACTAGCATTTCCACGACTCCGCCCGCGTTCAGGTGACCACAAACTAAATTCTTAGGTTTTACATATTTGTATACCCTTACATTGCAGTTTTTGTATTTTTCTCAGAAATGAGATATTTTGCCGCGGTAAAAAGTATCCCATATGTTGACCCTGATAACCAGCTATCACCATACCAAATCATCAAAATCCCTCCAGTGGTTTTTCTTTGATGCGGTAACAGACAGACAGACAATAATCCTGTATCGATAATAATGTTTATTTCAATAATATTTTCCAAAAAATATTTTATGTACGGATTCGGCTTAGTTACAATTTTATTATATGTATAGATATGATGTACCTATTATGGTACATTAATCTAACAATAAGTTTACATTCAAAATTATTCCGAAGAGTAATTGTAAAATCAGGAAAATAAAAAATATTTTATATGAAAACTTTCAGTAATTTTTATATCTGTTACATTTTATCTGTATTTGTTGGAGAAGATGACTTTGCTCTTCCAAGCACATTGTTCGAAAATATTGTACTATAAAGATAAAGTTTTTTTGGAAAAGAGATTTTATATTTATATAAAATAAATTTCCAAATGAATTATTAACTTGTACGGAGAAAATGTTAACAAAATATATGGACATCATTTAAATGAATTAAATTAAATAGTATTGTTAAAATTATTTATTTTATTTTTCTATCGTATTGCAATCTTTAAAAGTTGAATAAGCCCTTTTGCGATTTTAAGACATTTTTTAAAAGAACTTTTATATAATATTGTATAAAAGATATCTATCATATCCGGCGCAAAAAGGAGTCATAAAGTACTGCTAAAAGTCATATCTCGTTGTTTAAAAATAGGATCAACTTCTATGTAGTACATTATAATAGCCGCATTAAAATTATAACCGCGTTGATCTTATTGGTTTAGTCAACAAAGATATAAAAGGGGTTTTACTTACAAAAGCTTAAGAAGAGCTCTAATTTGGTAGATTACTAGGGTTTAGTGCCCTCGTTAATATACAGAGTTCGCCCTAGAGGTCGAACTTTTCTGTTACTGTCGGAAAGTGGTACTGAAAATTAGTTTTTCGAAAATTACTTACCAACAAGTTACAAGTTAATTGCTGGATTTTTTTGCTCTCTTACGTATATTAAACTATTATAACTACGAAAGTTTGTATGTTTGATAGCATATGTTCGTTAGTTCTTTACGCTGTCAACGGAGAGATGGAGTAACATATAGGTTGCACAAGAGCAATTTATACTAAAAAGTATAAATCTATCAAAAATATTAAAACTTTTATTGGCCCTTTGGAAGTCAACTATCTTTGATTCGACTTTACAGTGAGTGCCAATAGTATTGAAGAGACGGCATACTTATTCTGTAAAGCTGAGTTTGATATCAATGTAAAGGCATGTTTAATATTTTCGTATATTCAAAAATTCATCTTACATTAGCACGTAATAGTCATTTTCATAGTAATCATAATAGTAATGTTAACTTAGAGTATTTTAACGTATTTTATAAGAATAGTACAGAGTTTTCAACACGCAATAACGTTAGACAGTTATACTTATTAAGTGTATATCTTTCAAAATTGTTGTTATAAGCAAATCACAAAGCTAGTATTAAGAAAAACATACAAATAAATAAGCAATATTGTACATAGCACTTATTTTACTTATTCTCGAAGATTAAATGATATTTTTTTGACTAAGTTGAGAGAATTTGACTAAGATTATGTGAAACGGCAAGAATGAATCAGAATCTTTTATCATCCGACATAGATAGATATCTCTTTTTATCAGATATGTATTAACTATATAAAGTCACTCATTGTAAGTATCTACATTGTGAGAGACACCATCAACACTTAACATGAAGGTTGCTATCACTTTCCTCGCTTTGGTCGCCCTTGGGTATGCTGCCCCTCAACCAAGGAAGCTGTTCCATGAACATTATGAAGATTTCGCCGATTTAGTTAATAAGGAGGCTGGTCATGATTTGCATCACATACTTGAACACTACTTGGAATTTGAAGAGTTCCAGGCCACATTGGAGTACCTCAGCACCGCCAATTTCAGAGACTTAATCTTCGAAATGGAAGATTTGCCCGAATTCAAAGCTGTAAGTAAAATGTATATGCGTAAATAATTTGTGATTGTGTAATGTATTGATTGTATTTGCAACTTAATGATACTTACCGTTTTACTTTTTCAGGTTGTCGAATTTCTGGAGGGCCACAGCATCGACATCTTATACTTTATCGATGCCATTAACTCAGCCTTTGGTAAGTTTACAATTTAACATATTGTCAAATATTTTGAAACAGTTTATCTATTACTCGTAGTAATACTAGCAGTTACCCGTGATTTATGCGCATGACTACGCAATATATAAGATTTATAATTTTTGCAAAGCTATTTTTGTCTGTGTTATTTGGAACATATGTATGTTGATCTCGTTGTCATTAATTATTATTCTTAATAAGCAATATTTGTATTTAATTTCACAGCTTTTTCTGTTCTATAAACAATTTTCTTGAAAAGTTGAACTCCCTCTGTTTTCCACCAAAATTTCCATTTCCTTTTTTTGCGTACTCCTAAAATTACATACCTAACAATAATAATATCATGAAAAAAATTTCATGATATTAATTTTGTCTTTGTGTATTTGAGGTTCGCTACAATAAATAGTGCGTAGTATTTCGTTTTTATACATACGCAACTTAAATATCTCCTTCAAGTAACCTGTTGATGAATAATAAATATAAATATTATTCTCCTCAGAAACCATCCCAAGAAAAAGCATTCGTCATACACTTAGTGGTCGCGACTTTAACTCTTACATGAAAGATATAGTTTCCGAATTTCCTAAAGCTAAATTAACCGCTCTGTATGAGGAGAAGATTGCTGAAGATGAAGCTTTCAAGAACGCAATGGAGAGCTTACAAAGCGAGGAATGGGATGAGATTTATAGCGCTCTCTGGAAAAACGAGGTCTTCCAGAAGGAAGTTGAGGTACTTAAGGAGAATGGTATCGATATTAAAGTTGTTTTGCATCAACTCAAGGCTCTTTTTGGTGTTTTTGAATAAAATAGAAATCCTTATAATAAAAATCTTAAAATAAATATTTTATAAACCTAAAATGTTTGATTTTTTTACTGATTCCTATTAAAATATTATAAAGTGGTACAATAGATTTGTATAATTTAAATATTATTTTGTAAGCTTGACTTTAAATATGACTTTATAAGTTAATTAAATCACCACGGCTTTTTTTAGGAGTAAAAGAACAGCTATAAAGCTATCGACTGCACGCGTAATGTCAGCGAGTCTTCAAATTGTAAACTCTTATTGATTATACATATTTTTATAAGTAAATCCCTAAGCAAAATAATTTGGTAAAGATACTTGACTTGGTGTCTAGCAAATAGTCCAGTTAGCTAATAGATCTTCATAATGTTAGATAGCTTTTAATCTTCCATCTCACTTTGTTGTGGTGGAAAGTACATAAACAAAGAACATATTATTCGAAAATTCGAAAACTTTCTAATAATTTCGAATGTTTTGTTCCTCTCTTACTCTTACACACGGCCATTTACGATAACCTGTTCTTGTCTGAATTTCGAAACTTCTAGTAATCTCGATGCCTCTCTGGAAATTTTAGACAACTATCGTAAGATGTATAAAACATGGTTCAGACTTGTCTTTTTAATTATTATTTTTGGTGTAATGACGATACACACTCCACTACGCGACAATATTAAAAGAGTTTGTTAAACCTGACAGGTACTTCCTGGGACCAGCGCATAAACTAAGAAGAATTTATACTTAATTAAATTATTGTATTCATCACTGAGTGACAGAGTTAATCAAGTTCCAGGATGACATCTTTGTCTGGCGGAAATCGTTGCCGAAATCTTGAGATGTGCATATTTTATTTATCAAATCCCAAACTGTCGGCTCAACTTTAAGCGCGAACCTTATTTAATTATGCAGATGTAGATGAAGGTACTCATTTATTTAACAGGGAAATAAATGATTCCCTTTATTTATCTTTCTTTGTGAGTGGCAATATTTTATCTCAGTGCCAGTGTTTTTAATTTGTATGTTGTGTTGGTTAGTGTTATAATATATATTTAGTATATAAATAATGTAACCAATTATAATATAATTTGTGCTGATTGTCGATTATAAGTTATTAACAGTATTACTTATATTATGTTAAATTATAGTCATCATATCGCAAGGCGATTTTCAAAGAATTATCCACTACCTACCGGAGGGCTCACCAGAAGTTAGTTTTCTTAGGTCAATGTAAGTTGCATTAAGTGCTATTAAGACTGCTTTATTACGGAGACATCGTAAGACATGCACAAGCCATGCCACGATAGGGATCCGCTGGAAGATTTTTTACTAAGTAAGGCCAATACGGCTTAATTACCACATAAACAAAAAAAATAATACGTTTAATCTTCGATCAGTAGTATTGATCGAAGCATTTAATAGTTTTCTAAGAGAAATTCTATTCTTCTTAAGTTTTATTAAGAATAAAAAAGTAAATATTGACTAGAGAACTTCATGCTGTCTCATAAAAAATAATAATAAGCTTAATAAAGTGTTTAGAACACAATTATGAATTCTGAAGTGGTATTTTATTTATATGCTAAGAATACGGTTTTCTATGTATATATGATTTTAAATTACTGTATTGATTTTTTTATAGTGCAATAAAGAATAGTATATATGAACCGCACGAAGTTTCTTTAACCGGTGGTAGGACTCTGTCAAGCCTGAGGAGTCCGACTGGATGGGTACCACCTCCTTATCTATTTCTCCCGCTAAGCAATAATGATTACATTGTTGTGTTCCGGTTTGAAGGATAAGGTAGCCAGCGCAATTACAGGCAATAGGCATATCATCTCAGTCCTCACCGTGACAACGCACCTGCGGTTCTACATTTTTGTAATATAAAACTTAAGTGCATGAACCGTAGGTGTTATAGGCGACACGTACTGCTTTCCATCAGGTGGTCTGTCTGCTCGTTTGTCACTCAATCTCGTACTGAGTTTGTGTTTACTTTCATTTTTCAGATTAGGTATACTCTTTGTCTATTTTGTTCATTTCTATATAATTTTAAACCCTGTTGGTTATTGATATTTTCTATTTTTATCATTAATGATAAGAATAAATCGGAATAATATCTTTCTGATATATTAGTATTTATTCATATTTTTATTCTATGGTCACATAATGTTTAGCTACTTATTTTAAATTATTTTCTTTTCAAAAATTTATTTATTGATCAGAACCTAATATTATCATAACGTTAATGAAAAATAAATATTGTGCTTCTTAGATATCCCCATATGAATGTAAATAACCGTCTTTCAATTTCTTCACGTCATATAAAATTGATTGATGTGCGAAGACTTCGCTTAAATAATAAAGCTTAAGGAAATTTATTTTTAAATTATTTTGTAGTGTAATTTTTAAATATACATAAGCTCATCTCTAAAGACAATACAATACTAAAGACATAGATATGTATGTCTGTTTTACATTGTATTTGTTTTTCGTAGCTTATTGAGTGACACGCAGCGTTCAAAGAATTCTTCAAACACTTTACTTTTATTGAAACTAACGGAAATATTATTAATTAAAACTTCTATTTGTGTACATCCTTTTTATAATTAAACTAGCGGCTCACCCTCGCTTCGCTTGGGTTCGCTTTTAGTCAAACAAAAACAAATCTATCCCACGAGAACCGTAAAACTTTTTGGGATAATAATAAATGGGATATGTTCTAAACACCACATAGCACATATTCGGACTAAACATTTAAATCTTGATAGATTGTCACGCAATATTAATAATAACACAATTTTCTTGTAATTTTTATTGTCCTTGTCCTACTCTTTATCTGTAATAAATAAATAATAATAATATTTATTTTTTATTATAAATAAAAAAGTATTGATATAATCTTCCGAAAAATAATATTTTTATTGGATTTTATAAATTAAATAATCTAATCTTTAAATTTATTTTCTTACAATTAGTTTTATAAAAATTAATTAGAAAGATATAAATATTTAAACAAAGTTTTCACTTACAAAAACTTAAAATTAATAAATAAACATGCACTCAATATTAATACAATACTCTCTTTACTTTGATAAGAAAATAAATGTTAATAAATAAAAAAATAGATTTTATTGTAGTAAGAAAAAAAGACAAAATATTATGTTAACTTTTTCAATAGAAGAGAAGTAGCTAATGATTAAAAACACTGTCTCGTATTCTCTTGAGAAAGTTACCTACGTTTAAGTCTCAGTGAGATTGGCCGCCGTGGCCGAAATCGATCGGGAGGAGAACATGTATATTATATACATAGCAAAATTATGGTACTATTTATGATTTGCACATTTGGCGATATATTTTTTTAGTCCGAGTCTGAGATACTGTGATAAAATTGTTACATATTAATATATACGTACCGAAAAAAATGCGAAAATATTATAATTTTAAATTTTGAAAATATGTAGTAGTTTATAATTTATTAAAAAAATGTAAAATGAAATAAAAATAATAAAAAATTTTGCGTGTACGATTTCAACTCCATTCCATATAATAAATATCGGGCAATCTCATTTTATAATAATAAATACTTAATGTTCTAACAAACATGATCTAGTTACTTTTTCGTTACATGTGTTAATAATACCACATAATAGCACATCAGAATTTTCTATCTAGGTAGAACAGTAATATATTAAACAGTTCTTTTCAAAAGGTTCAAAGTTGGGAAGAAAATATGAAAAACTTTGTGTCACATACAGTACACCATTGCTATATTGAAATATCAGAGCCATAGAAACAGATACGATCCAACATGAATGAAATTGTAGTTTGACAGAACTTCTTACCATTAGCAATAGTTAACGAGGTTCAATGAATACTGCTTAATGGTAATTTCTAACTCCAAAACATTTAACAAACTAGTTGTTGCGCGAACTGCGGAGAGGTGGATGGGACGTGGTTATTATATAGGATGCACAGATACTACAGCTACGATTCTCATGAAAACATACGGAGTTTGAATTGTTACATAACATATTATTTTTATATTTAGAAGTTATTCTTTTTATTTTCTGTTCTGTTTTACAGAAATATCAAATGTGACGTTTTAACTCGTATTAATTGATAATTTTTTTTTGTCTATATTTTGATATTATTTTTATTTGTTATTTACGATGGGGAATCATATATTTTGGGAAAGATTTACCATAGATTTTTGGCGATAGAGTCAAAATTAAGCTAAAAGACACTTTAATTTTTCAGCGATTTTTTTTTATTGTTAATCCTACTAATATTATAAATGCGAAAGTTTGTGAGGATATGTGTATGTATATCTGGATGTATACATGTATGCTATTCTTTCACGCAAAAGCTACTGAACGTATTTTAATGAAACTTTACAATAATATAGCTCATACATCAGAATAATGTCTTATTCAAGGTTACTTTTTATACCGGAAAAATGTACGATTCCCGTGGGATAGATTGGTTTTTGATTTATAAAGGGCCTCCTTGGGAGATTATTTACTGGGTTTTGTTTATTGTTTATAGAGGGACCCCATGCATAGCAAAAGAATAAGGAAAATTGATTTATAATTGGCAAAGACATCGTGTAACATATGCACAAACAATACAGACGAATTGAATACGCATAATTGAAGTTGGCGAAAAGCAATATTAACGCACATCAATACCATGAGAGCTATATCCGGACTTTTATTTTCATGTTGAATATTTAGTTAGTGATATGTATCGTTCATTTATTCGGCATTCAGTGAAACAAAAATACAGTAAAAATATATACTTTGTGTTATTTTTAGAACATGATTGGACAAATATTTACACATAGAGATGGATTAAAATATCTCATTGTATGGCTAATTCAATTATTAAAAACATGAAAAATATAAAAACTGACTTCTATACCCTAAAAAATAAAAAATACGATACGAGACTTTTCATTTATTATAAAGAGCTAATCAGATATTTTTGAAGTCGTTGCCAGCCGA